CTGAAATTCAAACCTGGGATCTTTCACCTACTTACTGAACTACACTAACCAGCCCAGCTCTACTGATAATTTCATTCCTCAGCCTCTTCAAAAGCCTAACGCCCTGAGAAGAGATGGGGATTGAGACAGAGTGGAAACGCAGAAAGGCTGAGTTGCGATTGTGACAGCTGCTTTTCGGGGATTTAGGGTTTTGGCAGCTTCTGGGAGATGCGAGAGGCGATTGCTTTGGTGACTGGCTTATCTGGGGATATGCTTGGAAGGAAATGTGTAACAGACACCAAGGTGAGCATTTTGGAAGAAAAGACTCACCCAATAAAAAGTCTCAGAGAGCAAACAGGGATTTCCATAACCACCTGGCAGAGGTGGAGGGCAGGTCCAGCTGCCCCGGGGCAGCGGGGAGGGGAAAGAGCAGCAGCAAGTCTTCCTTAAAAGGTCTTGCAGGGCCCAGGCTTAGCACTTTTCCGCCTACGCTCCTCTAAAAACACAAAGGTTTGGGGGGGGGCGGCGGTACCAGCCAACTAGTTTCTTTCTCCAGTAAGCTCTGCATCAACCCTTGTCACAGACGGAAGTAGTCGGGGAAGTGACGTTTACGAGTTTGAGGGGTGAGGGAGCCGGTATCTGATGATGTAAGGTGATCCCAAAACAGGTTTCCATATTTGCTTTTTTTAAAGCCACTTTAATTAGGGGGCCTATGTACTGTTTACACCACCTTCCAGCACATCTTTTAGAAAGGAGGGAAATGGGGTGTATTTAAGCCACACAGGTAGGAACCTGTGAGCTAGGTCAATTCATCAAGCAGCCAAAGCTCAAATCCAAAATACAGGCCCTGTTTGTCCAAGATCATATTGTAGTAGAAGCAAACAAGGAAACCACTGGTTTAAAAGCCTGACTGCTTTTCTTTTTACTATTCCAGTATCAAGTTAAAACTGTGTACACTAGGCTAATACTTCTGAGATCCCAACTGTCAAATAGCCTGGGTTTCTCAAGCTAGTTTGTGCTAAGAAAAAGGGGCGTGGGGTGGGGTGGGGGGAGCCAAAAGCTCTGAAGAACTAATTTACAGTTCAGTTTAAAAAAAAAAAAAGAAGTAAATAAAACTGTATTTATTCACAGATGACATGATTTTATATGTGGAAAATTCCAAGGAATCTACTAAAAAACTACAAGTACTAATAAATGAATTCAATAATTTTTCAGGATACAAGATCAATACTCAATAATCAGTTGTATTTCTGTATACTAGCAATGAACAACTTCTCCAAAATTAAGAAAGCAATTCTACTGAGAGTTGTTCTGAAACCTCCAATAGATTACCCTTCTTACTGAGAGTGAAATTCCAATGTACTTATCATGCCTTATAAGACTCAGCAATGATCTTACTTGCAGCTACTTTCCTGACCTCATCTCCTTCCATCATCTTTCTCATTTCCTCTGCTTCAGTCCCATTGGCCTCTTTTCTGTTCCTCACATATGGCAAGTATGTTCCTGAGAATCTGTCTCCCATTTACCTGCATGACTCTCTCACTTCTTTGTTTGTTTGTTTGTTTTTTTCTTTTATTGTTTTATGACCATAGTTAACAACCCCATGACATGTCAACACTGTCCCTTCTCAACCCTGGGTTCCCTATTACCAGCTTTCCTGTCTCCTCCTGCCTTCTAGTCCTTGTCCCTGGACTGTTGTGCCCCATTAGTTTCGTTTTGTTTTATGGGGCTGTCTAATCTTTGGCTGAACAGTGAACCTTGGGAGTGACTTCATTACTGAGCTAAAAGGGTGTCCAGGGGCCATCCTCTCGGAGTTTCTCCAGTCTCTTGTCAGGCCAGTAAATCTGGTCTTTTTTTTTTGAGTTAGAATTTTGTTTGACATATTTCTCCGGCTCTGTCCAGGACCCTCTGTTGTGATCCCGGTCACAGCAGTCAGTGGTGGTAGCCAGGCACCATCTAATTGTATTGGACTCAGTCTGGTGGAGGCCGTGGTGGTTGTGGTTCATTAGTCCTCTGGACTAATCTTCTCCTTGTGTCTTGTTTTCTTCATTCTGCCTTGCTCCAGAATGGGTGAGACCAGTGGAGTATCTTAGATGGCTGCTCACAGACTTTTAAGACTCCAGACGCTACTCACCCCAAGGTAGAATGTAGAACATTTTCTTTATAAACTGTATTATGCCAATTGAGCTAGATGTTCCCCGAGACCATGGTCCCCACAGCCTTCTGCCCAGCAGTTCAGTCACTCAGGGAGTTTGGATGTGTCTATGGAACTTCCATGACTTTTCCTTGTACAAGTTGTGCTGGTTTCCCCATACAGTTCAGTTTTTTAACGTTCTCCAGTCTAGAACTTGGAGAGAAACTGAAAGAGTAAACACAAGGCTGAGACTGTGGGATCATCCATCTCATCGGGCACAGGAATGACCCCAACACACCATCTCAGGTCCCCTAGTTTGGTCAGAACCCTATTTATGACATTCTACAGTCACCTGTGGACAAAAAAGTGATAGTTTCCTTGTTTTCAAACTCCCACGAAGCAAATTCTCCACAAAGCCAATGTTTAAGGCCAACGTCACATCCCTCCACTTCCCTGGAGTAGAGGCCACTTTCCTAAATCCTGGCTCCCGTTTTAAATCACAAAGCTAGTTCCTCAGGTTAAATATGTTGTTTTTACCAAGGGGCACATCTGTCCTGGGCAGTTCCACATTGGACAGATACAAGGAGTCTCCCCTGACCAAAGAGGCCAAAAAAAGAAGTTAAAGATCAGGTAATCTATTGAGTAGAAGTGGGGCTGAGGACATAAAGGGAACTGGAACCAGCCACTCAAGAAGCTTGTGGAGTGCAGAGTGGAAGCTGCCTCTCCCACCAAAACTGCCAGCCAGGAGGCCCCTTCCTCCACCTCCCTTCATCTCCATCACTCCATCACCACCTCCTCCTTGAAAAGGTTCTACCCTATCAACCTCTCTGCTCTCCATGAGCCCTCAGGGAGGACATAGTCTACTTCACAAAGGCCACAAACTCCCCAAACATCTTCTTCTCTTTCTCTCTCTCTTTTTTTTTTTTTTTGGATTATTTAAGAGAAAGAAAAGGGGGGATGAGGAGGAGAAAGACTAGTTTGGATCCTTGAGCAGATTACTGAATCTCTCTGTGCTTCAGTTGCTGAAAAAAAAAGAAACATTCATACTGCCCTACCTCATAGGTTGTCGTGAATTGAAATAAGATAAAATATGTGAAACACTTGCCTCAGAATCTGGTTCAAAAGCAAATAATAAAGAGACTGCTATTGATTACTATAATTATATTGTTATGAATATTTAATATTACTGGTCAGATGCCATGTGCTTAGAAGGGGAAAATGAAAACCAGATTAACCTATTCTTAGAGCCCTGGTGGTGCAGTGGTTAAGTGCTTGACTGCTAACCAAAAGGTCGGTGGTTCAAACCCATCAGTCGCTCCATGAGAAAGATTGACAGTCCGCTTCTGGAAAGATTACAACCTTAGAAACCCTACAGGGCAGTTTTACTGTCATATAGGGCCTCTATGGTCGGGTTTGGTTTTTGGTAACCCACCCTTGGGACTAACCAAATGTACTCAGTTGTCCTGGTGCATGAAACCAAACCGGCCAGCACCTGTGTTAGGACACCTCATAAATACACACACAACACATTGTCGTTTCTAAGCCCTACCTGACTCTTTAAGGCCAGGTCAGGCTTTCCTCCTCCCAAAAGTCAGTTCTCACTGCCCACGGAGTACACCAAAATATCCCAAGCTATCCTCACCCTCTGGCACCTAATTGTCCATGCCTCTCAGTGCCCTCTGATAAGGGGGCCCTGAGACATTCTCAGCAATCTGCCAGAATATGAAATACTGAGGACAGGGTTGGACTGTCCCTGTCCCCGCATCTTCTTAATTTGCTCCCCGGTGCCAGCCCAGGGCTGGGCAAAACATTATGTGGAGACTAGCTGAGTAATGGCCGACCCTCTGCAACATCAGGCAGACAACACTTCCTTTTTGACCCAATAGAAAGCTCCAAACAACACAGACGGGTCTCAGAACCGCAAATATGTTTAATCAATCAAGCCACAGTTTCCCTGGGGAAAAATGCTGCCCACTGATGGAATGACTTCCCAAGTTCAAAAAAAAAATTTAAGACAGCAGTGTGATTGCTGCAGATTTTTCACGTGGCCAAAGATAGGAGGAATAAACTCAGTGGATGCCTCAGGGAAATTGTGGGTGATTTCTCTTTTTGAAAAGTGCTTCCTTTATTGTTATGGTACTCTACCAATCAACTAACATCATGAGGGAGGAGAAAGTCATCTGATGAGAAACAAGCAACAGAATCGGTGAAAACAGAAGGGAAACCAATCCTTTCCCTCTATCCTGCCCCTGGGCAACAGTGAAGTGAAACGAGGCAAACTCTAGAATCCAGATTATCACAATGATAAAGCCTAGAAGTACACTGGGCGTTTGTGCGCGCATTTTCATCCCCTGAGTCAGAGCTACCAAACTTTTTTTAAATACCATTATTTCCTGGGGGAATAGTACCTGTATCTAAATGTTCTAATCTCCATGAGCAAAAGCCACAGACCTGGCAACAAAAAAGGTTCCTTAGTCACCACAGAGATGGTTGCAGAACTATGCCTGGAAATCAGATCCCAGTTCTAATACCTGCTCCGCCGACCCTGGGCAAGTGGACTTCACCCCTCTGAGCCTCTCTGTTTGCTCATCTGTAAAGAGGGAATATCCCCCACCTTCCCACCTAGCAGGTTTCTCTAGAGTGCCCAGGACATAAGACAAACTGAAGGCACTTATTAGTGCTTGCCCCCCACTTTTATAACACAGGTAAACAGACAGGCCTTTCTCCTTCAACCACATGGTAAAAGTTTAAATTCTTACATCTGCGTACATTCCAAAGGGGGTCTCTTTTGAGCCAAGAGGGGTTTCGCCCAGTAGAGACAAGGGGTAGATGTGCCATTTCTCCTCCCCACCCCCCCCCCTCCCGCCCACAGACGGCGCGCCCTCACCTCTGCCCAGGACTCGGCCTCTCTCCAAGCGCCGCCGGGTAACTGTGAACGTGTAGCTCTCGGCGCCAAAGCCCGGACGGCACGGCTCCGGCTCCTCACAGAGCCACGGTGAAACCTGCAGTGGGGGAAAGGTGACGTGGGGGTCGCCTCCTGCACACAATGAAATCCTATCTCGCTTGCGGCGTCTGGACAGAGGGAGGAACACCCCCTACCCCGGAAGACAGCGGCGTCACCCTCTGCTACCCCGAAACCCGCGGCCGCCAAGCCCTCCAGGAACTCCTAGAGATGGAGCTGCTGGGTCACCTCCTCATGACTGAGCCCCCCCTTTCCTTTCTTTCTTCTTTTTCTTTTCGTTGGAAGTGTCTTTACTCTTCACGATTCCACTTTCTTATACCAAAACGTCCCCACGTTAATCTAATTCCTTAAACACAGGGGCGCCCCAAACCCTTTTGACCTCACTTTCCTTATCCCGAGGACGTCCCCATTTCTACTTACATGGGAGATGTCTTAATTACTATGGATGCCCTTTTCCTTACTTCTTTCCCACTATTGGCTTCTCCTGTCCTTACACTGGGGCTTCCCTTTTCCGTGTCCGACTCTCAACTGACTCCACGTCCCCACCGCCCGGCCCAAACCCATGCCTCGACCAACACAGAGTCCCCGGAGCCTGCAGCGAGGTGCGCCCCCTCCCTACTCGGCTATTTGCGGCCGGGGGCAGGCAGAGCCGCGCTCCCTTTCATCCCTACCACCTTGGTGGAGCGCGCCGCAGCTTCCAGGCGGTTCTCGCCCCTCAGCCCCAAACTTTCTCCGAAGGAGGAGGAGCTGGGACGGTGGGAGAGAACAGGACGCAGAGACGAGGCGCGGAGCGTGGGGCCGAAAGGTGTCCCCTAAAGTCGGGTGAGCCGACGTACCTGCAGCAGTAGCAGGAGCGCGAAGAGGCCGCAGCGCGAAGGGCCCATGGCGGGCCGGACGAGGGAAGGCAGGGGTCTGGCTGGGCCGAGCTAGAGCCTGGCAAGATTTCCGCAGACTCACAGGTGCTCTGGTGCTCCGGACGCCACTGAGCCGAACAGCGCCGGAGCCACCAGGTGAGCCCCGAGGGTGCCGCCCCCAGCGCCACTGGTTGGCTGAGAACGCACCTGCCCCGGCCGCAGCCAGTAAGCGGCGTAGCGCGGCCAGCAGCTTCCTTCGCCCGGCGGGGGGCGGGCGGTTCGCCCACGGCCCCGCCCTTAGGCCCCGAGCCGACCCGGTGACAAGCTGCCAAGAGGTTTGCAGGATCTAGGTGGGGCGTGGGGGCTGCACGATCCTGATTCCCACTGGGTTCAAATCCTAGCCCTAACCGCGGCTCTCTAAGCCATGGGGTCAGAAAGGACCCCTTGGGTTCTTAATAGGAAACCACACCACTACCCACTACCTTCTCTGGAGAATTCTGTCCCCAGTAGAATAATCTAGTTAGTCTTTTTAACTGCAGATCTCCATGGATTAGTGAGTCATCAAATTGATTCACAGGTCAGGACCACCTCTAACCTGAAGCCTCAGTTTCTCCACCTTTCAAATGGGAATGATAACCACAAACACCTCAGTATGTTGTCATGCGGTTCCCATGCAATTAATAAGGCCAATGTTTCCTGCACCATAAAAACTCTGTACAGATGTGAGGGGTAATAATAGTAACATTAAGTGCTAGGCTTTAAACATTACTGCCCCAGGTTCTGCGCTAAGCGTTTGAATTGACCATCTCGCTTAATCTCATCTCAAAACAAACCAACGGCTGTATTATTATTCTCATTTGATAGGTGGGGCAAACGAGGCTTAAAGAGATTGAGACCAATAGCCAGTGGCAGAGGACTGGCACCCACCTTTCTCTGATTCCAGGGCCCTTGCTTTTAACTATTGTGCTTCACCTCATGTGGCCCCCCACCCCTCAGTCTTCCAGCTGGAGCTGCAGTTTTCAATCTGTCCTTTAATCTTGACATGGAAGAGTCCCTTCAGAGTTCACCCAAATCTATTATTTGCAAGTAACTTGCTCAATGTCACACAGCAAGTCAATGTCAAAGCTGAGACTAGAACCCAAGATCTCCTGATCCCCAACTGGGGTTCTTAATGCCACACCACTGCCACCACCACAGCCTTCTCTGGAGAATTCTGTCCCCAGTAAAATAATTTTCGGATCAAGAAAAGAATAGACAGGCAAATGTTAGGTCAGCCAACTTCCCTTTCCTGTAGCGGCCCTGTTTGTGCGGGTGGGCTCCGCCTCTCCCCTCGCCCCCCCACCCCCGACCTCCTACCCCCTCAAGGACACCTCCTTTCCCTTCATTCTCCAATCATGGTCAGCACTACAAAGCAGTGTGTGGAGTCAGCTGCTCGCTGGCTCTGTGACCTGGGCCCAGTCAAGTATTCTCATGTGAATAACCAAACCTTTGGCCATTGAGTTGATTCCGACTCGGACAGAACTGCCCCATAGGGTTTCCGAGGCTGTCATCTTTGCTCAAGCAGACTGCCACATCTTTCTCCTGCATAGCCGCTGGTGGGTTTGAACTGCCCACTTTTCGGTTAGCCACTGAGCCCATAACCATTATGCCTCCAGGGCTCCCTTCTCGTCTGTATAAATGTGTTGAAATGAGCTAATACAAGAAAATCTCTAAGCAGAGTACTTGGCACGTAGTAGTAACTGCTCATTAAATGTTTGATGTGGAGGTTGTTCTCTTGAAAGGATCACTCCCTTCTTGCCCTTCTTCACTGGTAAGGCCACATTTGGAATACTGTATTTCACCCAGCGTGAAAGGTGAATCTGAGCTAATTGAGGGTACTTTATCCCAGAACTCCAGAGGAGAGGCACCATTTCCAGTTGGCCCAGGTCACCCTCTGTCCCCTTGGTTTTAATGGGTTTCCGAGCACAAGCCCAGGCCATTTGAATTTCTACATCTTGGCTCTCCGCCTCTTAACCCACCAGGAGGCTTCGAGGGGAAAGCTTCGGTATTTCCTTTCCCACCGAGGCTCCTGCTGGACTGTGCATTAAACAAGATAATGGAAATACAGAAAGAGGCGCTTCCCCCACGGGGCGGCCTCGCCAGTTTATTATTTTTTTCTCCCAGTTATGTAAAAATACATAGTTTATACCATCCCTCAGCCCAGGGAGCATTTAGGGCTTTGCTTTCTTCCACCCAGCAAGCCCTGGCCTTATAATTCCACAGTGATTCTTATTGACTCTTCCATTACACTCTGAAAATTCAATAAAAAAGATTTTAGAAAACAATTAAGGGCAGCGAGGACAGGTTGGGATGATGTTCTCTTCAGACTTCTGGGCAGGTCTTCGAAGCTCCAGAAAACAGTTCTGATAGGCGGCCCCCCTCAAGCTGTCCAGGGTGAGGAGGGAACACAAAGAGGTTCCCTGTGGAGGTGGGGTGGCGTGTGACTTTTGGCAACACAGTGAATTGCCTCAGCTTCTTCTTGTATGGAAGAAGCATAGTAATTCCATGGTAAGATCAAATGAGCCGGTGTAGTTGAGCCAACAACTTACGATATGGATAGCCTTTGGTCTCAGGCTGGCCAAACCGGAAAACCAAACCTGTTGCTGATTCAGACTCATGGCGACCCAATGTGTTACAGAGTAGGACTGAGCTGCAGAGTTTTCTTGGCTGTGATCTTCCGCTGTGCCCCTGGGTGAGTTTGAACCACCAAGCTTTTGTACGGAAGATTCAAATTCCGGCTTTGCCACTAGCTGGGTTGGAGAAGCCATTTTGTCTCTCAAAGTCTAGGTTTCCTCATCCCTAAACCAGGAATGTTGATGGAACATAATTCACAAGGGTATTGCAAGCACTGTATGAAAAAAAGTTAGCTATTAGCACTCTTTGCCCAATACATTTCCTTCCCAATTCTAGGGAAAATTGAGAGACCACTTGGGAGTTTCCCCACCCCTAGGCTCTTCTATCCCCACCCACCCACACCTCCTCCACACCTGCCATTAAAGCCTTTCAGGCTATCTTTTGTATCTGCTAGGAGAAATTCTTTCCCACTGAAGGGCTAGTTATTTTGACCCTCCCAGGGTCATTTGCATTTTAAAGAGGGTTCTAAAGAGTGACCATGCTTCTTTCAAAGGAATGAAAGCTTTGGCTGTCGTTAGCTCTGTTAATCTGGTATCTTGGACGGGTTTCTAGGGGTCTGTGAACCTGTCGGTGCAGGTAGCAAGACCCATTACTTTCTTTAGCTTCTCAGCTGGGGGAGGACAAATCCAAATCTAAAGGTTGGGCTCTCTCTGAGCGCTAATGTGGAGTTACAGGCTTCAACAGAGAAAAGAAACGTTGAGCAGAGGATTTGACTATGCCCTTGAGATCTCTCCAGGTAGGTGATAAACCTTAGCCTTCCTCGTTGGGGTGTGTGTCTCTGGCGGATTTTCATTTCCTGGGTGTCGGGGCCACTGGTTTGCTCACTCCAGACTGAGCGGCTAATGATTAATTCCCCAGGCAATCCTGTCCCTTTCATCTCACTGTGGCCTAGCTTGCCAGGTAGTAATAATGGTGCTCAGACTGGGAGGGGCGACCTCCCTCAACCTCCGCGGACAGGAGCCCCGCCCCCAGCTGACTGGGGATGACTCCCCAGGGAAATTTGAACTGCTAGGGATTGCAGCCAGGCCAGCCTGCCAACGGTGATGGGAGAGTAGGCTCCATTCTAGCTGCTCCTGGGGGCTCCTGACAACTCTCCCAAGCCCGCCAGGCTACGCGCCAGGGAGGGAACTAGACACCTGGCTACAGCCTCCTGTTATAATGATGGTAACTGATAGGGTATCACCCTTTGCAGCCCAGCCACTCGCTTCTGCAACAAACATTTTTATTTCAAACATTACAAAAGTAAATAGTATAATGTATACTTTGTATGGTATGATGAAGCCCCATCACCTAGCTTCAACAATTTTTTTAGATTTTTATATTTTTGTAGTTTGTAAACTATACCAAATCTTGTTTCATTTCTCCAATCCTGCTTTTTAATTTCTGCAGAAGATTTTAAAGCAAATCCCAGATGGCCTGTCATTTCCCCTGTAAATGTTTCATATACATCTCTGAGAAAGTCTTTCTTTTTTTTACATAATGATGTAGGGTAAAAAAATCACAAAGTTTAGTAAAGCAAAAAGAAAGTTTTATTCGGCATATATTCAAAAAGGCAAAAGTGGGAAATGGACAAGCATGCTGCCAGAGCCATGTCTACCTGAATCCAAGGAAATTACAGGATAGACAAAAGCGGGAAAACAGACAAGCATGCTGCCAGAGCCATGTCTGCCGAAGTCCAAGGAACATTACAGAATCATCAGTAGATATTAACATTATAAATGGGCAAAACCATTGAAAGCTTCACCTTTTCACAGATTGGCTAGAAACTGTGACTCTACATTTCAAATTGTCTTTCTTAACAATCATTGGTACAGGTTTCAGTAATGACAGTCAGGAGGGTCTTCATTGGTCCCACAAGTTTCTATTCACTAAATGCTAATAGAAAAAGAGTGAAAAGTCTTTTGTGTTCTGTTTGATTGGCTTTATGTGAAAGTTTCCCTAAAAGATATTTTCCAAGATTGTCTTAGCTATTGTCGTTATACCTCAGGGCCCAGTTGATGTGTCCTTGTGAGTCTTTGTGAGTCCAGCTGGAGCTGGGTCACATTCTCTATACTCAAGGAGAGGGAATAATAACTCCAATAATATTTCCTAAATCAACTCCAATATTATTTCCTAGATCAATAATCATCATGCCATTAGGTAACAACACCTAATAAAATTAACAATAATTTCTTGATATCATCTAATGGCTAGAACACATTTAAAAAAATTTTTTTACAATAAGTATTTAAATTAGGACCCAAAAAAGAGCCATACTTCACAATTTGCTGTTAGTCTCTTAAGTGTCTTTTTATCTGTAACAATCCCTTCATCTCGTTTGTTTAGTTTTATTGAGGTATATTTGACTACAATATTTA